CATTTCTTTCCCCCATTTTGTGATTGGGTTTTTGCATTTTTGTTGTTGTTGTTAAGTGCTGCCTAGTCAATATGACTCATAGTGACCTTGTGAACAGAAGATCTGAATCCTGTTCTGTAACTATTGCTGTTTCTTTAAGTTCATATTTTCCAGAGGCATGTTGTTTAGGAACTGGGTGATACTCCTGCTTCCAAGCCTGTCTTTTCTGGGAGCTCCATCAAATACTGTCCACCATTGGTGACTATTACGGCATTTGACACAATAGTGGCACAACGTTCAGTATCACAGCAACCCGAAGTTACCTCAGTAAAGCTGATTGAGAGACCAGTGCTGTACCACTTAGAAGAATATTCATTCTAAACACAATTAAACCAGGCCCTAATTGGCTCTTAAAAGTCTTCCCAATGTGGCCTTAGCCAAAACCAGCAAATCCAAACAGCCCACACATGGGTGTGAACAAAATAAAAACAACCAAAGAGTCCACACCCAAGCCTCAACCTAACCCCGTAGTAATCTGTAACATTGTGTTATCGAGACTGGAGTATGCTCACTCCCATAGATCACTTGGATCCACAGGTGTATAAGTGAGAAAAATACAACACTGTAGAAAGAGGATGAGCTTGCCTATTCCTTCAGCACCGCCCACCTGGTATGCACACATGTGTGAATGAGCAGGGAAGGGTTGTTGGCTTGAGGAGCAGGGAGTCAAGAGGATTCTTGACTTGTTTTCTCTACTTGGCCCTAGGCGGGAACTAGGCCTGAGTGAGGAGGGCAAAAGGTGTGGAACACAGAGAGGAGTGTGAACTCCTGAACTTGCACCGATACTCATTTAAACCTTGCCACAGATGGCTGGGGACGAGTAAATCAGAATCCAACCAGATGAAGATAAGATGATGTAGGCTGTATTGCTGCAAGTTGAGGGCTTGTTCTGGACGGGATGATGTTTAAAGATGCAGATACTCAAAGTTTCCAGATTGAACAGACGATCTTTCAGCAAAGAAATGTGTTTTTTTCCCCCTCAGAGTACTGGTTACGTAGAGATGGCAAGTCAGCAATTGGGTGTCTAACTAAAAGGAGGATGGGCATGAGGTGTGAAGTGGCTGGTTTACGCATTTTCAAGAAAGTAGTTGTCGATTGGGTGATTGTAAGAGAGAAAAGAACTAGACAATATAAGTGAATGAAATATAATGTAAATGACGGACTATATTGAACACAATGTACATGCATGAAACACAATGTATATCAATAAAAAATGAAGAAAACCCAAACGGTCAGTAAGATTTGCTGAAGCTTTAGAAAAAGATTTTTAAATAAGTAAATCAGAATTTTAGACATTTTAATATAATTCTTTACATTTTCTCCTTATTGATTATTTAAAATAGTTCATAGCAGTGCCGGGGATACAGACTTCTATTATTCTTGTTCCTTACTTGTGGAATGATTAATATATAATTAAAATTTGAGAAACCAAGTTAGGTTGTTGTATAATTTTAAAAATCAATGACATAATAATGCCACTTAACACTACTGGTCCTACAGCCACCTCTTACCCACAGTCTACTTTACTTCAACTCTTCATTCATCTACACAAGATGAAGGTGAGAGTGTAAGATTTCCAACTTGAAGTTGTGGCAGGACTCTGTCCATGTATTACTTCAGCCATTTTAAAATTCTCTTCAGCATGATTTTACCTGTATGCAATATTAATTATATAGCTTTATAATTGCTCATTCTATTAAATTACATATTTTTGAAATGTAAAAATGTATATAGATGACTTCCAATTAATTGATCATGTAACTGCCTGAGAATATCTTGGCATGCTCGATTTTGCCTTCACTTGTTAAAACAATAAATGATCAATCAACAATCTGCAATATGCAGAAGATACAGCACTGCTTCCTGAAGGTGAAGAGAGCCTGAAGCATTTACTGAGGTTATAAAATCTAGCCTTTCGTATGGATGAAATCGCAGTATAAGAAAATACAAATCCTTACAACTGAACCAGTGAACAGCATCATGAGTAGAAGAAAGATTGTGATTGTCAAGAATTTAATTTTGTTTGGATTTCAAATCAATGCCAGTCAGAAATCAATGTTATAACAAGTTAGAATGAAATTATATATTATACATTGCACAAATTTGCCACCAAAGACCTCGTTAAAGTGCGAAAATGTCAGTTTAAAGACTCAAGTGCACCTGCCCAAACCAGTCTTTTTAATAGCTTCATATGTATATGGCTATATGGCTATTGTACAATGGATAGGAAAGACCAAAGCATAATTTTTGCCTCTGCACTGCTGCGTTAAATATACCACAGTTTATCTAAAGAATGAATTAATCTGTCTTGGAAAATGTGCAGCCAGATGTTCAATAAAAACAAGAATTTTAAGACTTTGTCTCTTACTTTGGGCAACAACAATGGGAATAAGCACAACTGATTGTAAGGATGGGTCACTAGGATTTCATTCTGATGTACTATGATTTGGAGGTGGCTCAACAGTACCTAACAACAGCAAATAATAAACACTAGTCCACAGATTCTTTGTCTTAGATAAATGCTTTTCCTTCAGTAGCTTGAGTGTGTGCATCAGTTCAATAAATTGAGAAGAGTGGTGAACCCTCCTGAAATTTTATAAAAGATAAATGGATGCCAATATGATTTTCCAGGGAAGGATTTCAGGTCTACTATTTCTTGATTAAGTTTATTGATTGCAAACAACATAAGTTAACTGTATTAGATGCAACCAAAAAGAAAGTATTAGAAGGCTGTTAGGATCAAAATTCAAGCTTGGACAGTGCACTTCATGAAGGAACACAAGGAAGCAAACCAGTGCCAAGAGGCAGTGCCTGCTGCCACCACTTCAAGATGCCAGCTGTGTGCAGAACTCTGCTACTATTGCAAACTCACGGCCATGCTGTTTCCCTGGCCACTCTGCTCACATCCTGAGCTTTTGCTTTCTATCCTCAAAAAAAAATCCAACCAATAACACTGTGTCCCGGTTTTGACCATCAGGGTGAAGGGAGATGAATATGGACTCCTGCTTCCTACTGGTTTTGGAACAGTCTTTAAGTAGGAAGGGAGGTTTGTCAAAGGACAAACAACACTGTCATTTGCTAGAGCTTCCAGCAGAGTCTCAAAGGGGCCATGACACTAACATACTTCTGCCAAAAGAGATTATGAATCATTGCATTAGATTACCTTTAATTACAGCTCTGAAATTATATGATCCTAAATACTAATTTTTCTTTCCACCATCAACTACCAACTCTGAATTTCTTTAACTAGACACAAATGCAGCAATAGAATGACAAACAGCCTTGCAGGGTCAGCCCTGAAGCAGCAATGATCATTTCAGTGGGTTGTGTAATTAGGATGGTTGGGCTAATGGCAGAAAGTAACAGATGTCAGGGAGTGCTGTGATCCAGCTGAATTTCTGGCAAACCAGAACTGATTCCTCCAGTAAAAGGAATTTGCTTTTCCAAAGTGCCCCCCGGTTCTATATTATGAGTGTATAAGGCAATACATAATTTAATGGTCATATACATACAGATTTTGAGGCAAGTAAGCATGAAAAGACATGAATATATCTAATATTGGGTCACCGTAGAAAGTTACATGCCTCTGTATGTCTCAGTTTAATAGTAACAGTGATGGTTAATGTGTGACACTATGATGACACAATTCTATAATGGAAAGAATCACAATTTGTCACTTTGTGATAGCTAAAGAAATAATGATGAAAATTATTATAATAATAGTTTAAAATATTCCAAAACCATGATTGTACCTCATTCTGAAAAATATGTTTACTTTTTAATTTCAAGTCAAGAACAACAAAGATATCTCACACATGCATTTGACATGTTTCATGTAAAACTAGATCTATGACCTATAAAAGATGTTCTGGTATATATATATTAAGTGTTGGGCTGCAAGAACTTGAGTATGGCGGTTCAAACTCACTGACTACTCAGAAATATGAACTAGTCTGCTTCCTTAAAGATTTGCAGCCTATGAACCCCTGTGGGACAGTTCTTTTTAAAAATATTTTTAATTTTTTTTTATTACTCTAATTTATTTACAAAGTAATAATAATACATTATTTTTTCACAAAAGATCCTTCCCGTGGGTGTCTGGGGTGAAGGAAGTGGGAGAGTTCTTTTCTTTCCTAAGGTTTTACTATGGACTGAAATCAACTCATTGGCAGTAAATTATGACCCAATTCCAAAAGTGTAGTGGATAAGGAATTGATGCTGCCAATCCAAAAGTGGTGTCTTTCTGGTGGTTTGAACTGACACGCAGCTCCTCAAAAGAAAGATGGCCAATTTCCTATGCAATATACAATCTCAGAAACTCAGTGGAGGGTCAGTTATCAGTTGAGAAAATTTACTTCAAAGAATCACCAAAGTTTATAATCTAAAAATGTATCTACAACCGTTTGTCCCAAATGGCAGATAGAATCAAAATACAAATCAAATATTTTTTAATTTTGTTAAAATGCATAAAATTGAATGGGTTCTTTGATGTAAACCAGCAGCCATCAAACCAGTCTTAACTCATAGCAATTATGTTAACTGATACCATCAAAATAAGATGATTATGAGATACACGGAATATTTAACAATTGATTATTGTCTTACTCGAATCTGAAGTAATGGGTATAAAGGACTTTTAAGCCGTCAGTGGTCATTTCAAGTCCTAACATTTTGATTGTTTATATTTGACCTTTGGTTCACCATAAACTTTTTCCTTATTGTGATCCTATTGGAAAAACAGAACTGCCCCACAGGGTATTCAGGGCTGTAATCTTTACAGAAACAGATGACCTCAGCTGTCATTGAGCATCTGTGGGTCTCAATCATGGACACCTTAAGGAAGCAGGAAAAATTGTCTTCTGAACTATTATGAAGCACAGAGTAGAGCTGATCTTTGGGACACTTAGGTTTATTTGCATTCTGCTGATCTCATGAGTGTGTTCACTCCTTCTGTTTTGCAGGTAAATGTGAATGTGGTAAATGCACTTGCTACCCCCCAGGAGATCGCAGGGTGTATGGCAAGACGTGTGAGTGTGATGACCGCCGCTGTGAAGACCTAGATGGAGTGGTGTGTGCAGGTAACAATGATTTACACAGCTTTATCTCATTGCCATGCAATTTGCTTTGTTTTCATCTTGTTCTGCTTGTCTGTCTCTCTTTTCCTTTCTAAGTTTGTTTTTAGGAAAGAAACCATTTACAATTAAACCTTAACTCACTATACAATTAGGTTCATAATGATTTTACTTCCTTGAACCCTTCCTTTAAAGGTATGTATTACTTTTGCTATAGTCCTAGTAGTATAGTGGTTAAACGCTTAATTGCTAATCAGAAGGTTGTTGTTGCTGTCATTTTGTGCTGCCAGTCAACTATGACACATAACAACCCTGTAAACAGTCATCCTCACCATCTCTGATATAGTTGAGCCCATTGTTTATGTAGTTACTGTGTCAATCCATCTTATTGGGGTTCTTCCTCTCTGGGGTTCTTCCTCTCTTTTGCTGATCCTCCACCTTTCCAAATATGGTATCTTTTTCCAATGACTAGCTTCTCCTAATAATATGCCCAAACTATGTGAGACAAAGTTTCACCTTCCTTGCCTCCAAGAAGCACCCTTGTTGCATCTTATCCAAGACTGTTTATTTGCCTTCCATGAGATAGTCAGTACTTCACAGTACATCTAACAAGTGGACAGAATAACCTCAGGCAGAATATTCTCCTGTGGACTATAAATACAGAATAATCTCCTGTGGACTATAAACTCTATGGAAAAAAGATTGAAGTTGTCAGTGATTTCGCTTTACTTGGATCCACAATCCACACCCATTGTAGCAGCTGTCAAGAAATCAAAAGACATGTTGCATTAGGTAAAATTGCTGTCAAGGCTCTATCCAAAGTTTTGAATATCAAGGATATCAGTTTAAAGCTCAAGATGTGCTTGATACAAAACAATGGTCTTTACAACTGCTTCATATGCATTTTGATATTAGACAAGATATAAAGAAGGCCAAAGAAGAATCATCAAGGCCTTTACATTGTGGTATCGGAGAAGAATACTGAATATCCCATGGACTGCCAAATAGACAGACAAATATATCTTAAAGGAAATGCATACATGGTGAAACGTCACCTCTCTTACTTTGGTCTTATTCTCAGGAAGAACCAATTTTTGGAGAGAGATAGTATGCTGGGGAAGGTGGAGGGTTAGAGAAAGAACCTCAACAAGATATATTGTCACAGTGATTGCTACAATTGACTTGAGCACAACAGAGATTAAGAGGATGGAGCAAGATAGGGCAGAGTTTAAATCTGTTATTCATAGGGTCATATTTTCTTTTTTTTTTAGATTATTTTTATGTGTGTGTACCGTCAAATTAGATCTGACTGGTACAGAAGCAGATTGTCCCTCCTTCCCCGGCAGAGCATCTGGTGGATTCGAACCGTGCGCCTCTGGGATTGTAGTTGCAGCTCCTTGCCACTAGGCTACCAGAACTCCCCAAGGGTCATATTTTCACGTTGTTGTTAGGTGCTGTCGAGTTGAGTAATAAGAGTGGCACTATGAACAGCAGATCTTAATCTTATCTATCCTGTGCTGTCCTCATCATTTCTGACACACTTGAGCCCATTGTTGCAGTCACTTTGTAATACAGCTCGTCAAGGGTCTTCATCTTTTGCTAAACCTCTACTTTTCCAAGTATGGCACCCCTCTCGAACGATTAGCCTCTCCTAGGAACATGCCCAAAGTAGGTGAGATGAAGCTTTGTCATTTTTGCCTCCAAGGAGTATTCTGGCTGCACCCTATCCAGGACAAATCTCTTTGTTCTTTTGGCTGTCCACAGCATATATAGTACTCTTCTCCAAAATCACAGTTCAAAGACATCAATTATTCTTCTGTCATCTTAATTCATTTTCCAGCTCTCAGATGCATAGCAAGTGATTGAAAAGACCATGGCCTGAATCGGGCACATTTTAGTCCTCAAACTGATTTAATTGTTCCTTAGTAATTTGGGGAAGTCCCCGAATTCCCTAGACTTTTCCACTACAGTCTGTCTCCTGATCTCCCAACTGTGGATACCAAGAGTGTTGATTGTGGATCCAAGTAAGATGAAATCCTTGACAACTCCTATCTTTTTTTCCCATCTTTGATGATGTTGCTTATCAGTTGGGTGGTAAGGATTTTTGTCTTCTTGATGTCGTTAAACAATCCATACCGAAGGCTGTACTCTTTGATCTTCTGCAGAAAATATTTCAAGTCCTCCTCACTTTCAGTACAGAAGGTTGTGTCATCTGCTTAACACATAGTCAACACTCAACAACAACTACTAGTCATACTCAACTAGTCAACACCTAACAGCAACTACAATCAGCATCCATAGTCACAGCTGTCAAGAATTCAAAATAATTTTTTCAAAAAGAATTGAAAAGATATAGAGCACTGAGAAAATCTAGGGCCTCTCCAAAGTTCTGAAGAACAGTGATATCAGTTTAAATGTGTGCTGGATCTAAGTAATGGTATTTTCCTTTGTTTCCTATGCACCAAAAAGTAATTAAGGACAGTGCAAGTAAAATTGGTACCATTGAATTGTGATGTTGGTAAAAAGCACTGACCATCCCATGGACAACAATCAAGTCTGTTTTGGTAGAAAAACCACTAGGATGCTATTTAGAGACAAGGATGATGAAACTCCATCTCACACAATTTGGGGACCAATTCTTGGAAAAAGCATCATGCTGAGAAAGGTGGAGGGTCAGAGAAAGAGAGGAAGACCCTCAATGAGATAGAATGACCCAGTTATTTTAAAAATTGATGAAAATATGTCAGAGACTATGAGAATGAAAAAAACAGGACAAAGTTCAGGTCTGTGGTTCATATGGTTGCTATGAGTTGTACTTGACTCCTAATAATATAGGTGAATCAGTGACACATAGCAACAACAGCATTGGTAAGTTTGAGCTGTCCACATTTTGACTGTAGGTGAAATTGAAACCTTTGTGCCATTTAGGAATTTTATATAATATGTACGTGTGTTTGTGTGTACAGTTGTGTGTGTGTGTGTGTGTGTGTGTGTGTGTGTGTGAGTATATGTATCAAAACCAATCCAGTTATAGGGGCTTGCTTTCTGAATATGGCAAATCTTTATGGGAAGAGATTGGCTATATTTATCTTACAGAGTGGCAGATGGATTAAAATTCAGTTATGTAGGTGAATTACATTCAGACTTTCTTTCAGTAAGCAGTCCAATATATTACACACACAACACAACCAAGAATCCTTTTCATTATGTAAATAAATTACTGCCATAAAATAGGTGCTAACTCATATTCTGAGGCTATAAATCTTTGAGTTATTGCCTATCTTTCTGCCACAGAGCAGCTGGTGAATTCCAGCCACTGGCCTCTTAGCTAGCAGTCTGATATATTCAGCACTGTGGCGTGAAGGTACTTTATCATTATGCACATAACTTACAGTAATTAGATTAACAGCTGCTCATTGCACACTTAGTTTGTGGAAGGCATTGCACTGTTGCTGAACACATGCATGGCCTTAAACACTTGATCATCTTTGAAGCCTTTACCTCTGAATTGCATACTTGCATTTCTCTTGGTTTAGTTTTAAAACCATGGAAAAAAATTCACTGGTCTCTCCCCAATCATTTCACATAATTGGCTTTTCATGATATTTTTAATAATTATAGTTTTTCAAATAGTAGGTTATTTTCAATTCTCATTCTATATGACCTCTTCTGGCATAGAATTGCAATTATTCTTCACTACAACTTCCAAGAAATGTTTCCTATCTCAATTGTCCGCTCTTTCTTCTCTCACTTCTCCTGTATTTACTTTCCCTGTTTGTCTTGCTCACATCTCAGAGTCCCTTAATAAATCCCAGTATTTTCCTGGAAATTACAGTGGTCTGCCTTTTCTACCATGCTGCCCTCAAGTAATTGCTGCATCTTCTCTTTTTCTCAGTACATTCCAAGTTCCTTTCTTAGTATCAGTTTTTATTTCACTTCAAACTTTTATTTTCCAGTTAAATATTTTATTTTGGATATTTCTTCCAATGACACATGTTTGAAACCTGAATACTCATTTACTCCTTTTTTATCAAAATACATACCTATCTACACCTTACTTTTTGCCACTGGAAATCCAGTGTTGGCAGAGAGCACCAACGTTCTTCACACTTAAAACTGATTGCTGTCAAGTTGGAATCCACTGAGACCTGGCCCTCCAAAGGGTTTTGGACAGTTGTAAATTGTCCAGGATATATTGTTCATCTTTTCCCCAAGAACTGCATGAGGACCTAAATCATCAGAGAACACCCTACAGACTATGCCACCAGCACTCTCTCCAGATATCTTAGAACTTGCAATTAAGCTTAAAAGAAACGGTAGCACTGAGGTGACTTATATGAAACGTGAACCCTCTGCAATGAGAATGAGGTGAATGAGATGAAAGAAGGATTATATACTGTGCATAGAAATTTAGCATATTTCATAATGGGCTGCTAGCCAAAATACTGACAGTTCAAATCCTTCTGCAGCTCCATGGGAGAAAGATGATGGTCTTCTCAAGGCAGACTTATAGTTTGAGAAATTTAGTGGAGGGTCACCAAGGGCCTCTCCAAAGTACTAAGGACCAATAATGGACATTTAAAAGTTATTCACTTGATTCAGGCCATGCTCTTTTCAATCACTTTCTGTGCATCTGAGAACTGGACAATGAATAAGGATGATAAAAGAAGAATCAATGCCTTTGAGTTGCAGTGTTAGAAAGAGTACTGAGTATCCCCTGGACTAAACATATGTTTTGGAGTATCTGCAACCAGAGTGTTGACAGGCAAAGATGGTGAAGCTTTGTCTAACATACTTTGAATATGTTGTTAGGAGTGGGGAAATTCCTTGGGAATGGACATGATGTTTGGATAGGTTGAGGGTCAGGAAACAGTGACTACAACAGCAAGCTCAAGTATATCAGAGATGATGAGGATGGCTCTGGATAGGCAGAGTTCAAATCTATTGTTCATAGGTCACTATGAGTTGTACTCGACTTGATGGCAACTAACAGCAACAACTAAAGC